GTTAGTTAGTCAGTTAGTTAGTTTGTCAGTAGTTACTTAGTCAGTTGTTAGTTAGTTAGTTAGTTAGTTAGTTAGTTCTTTAGTTAGTTGGTTAGTTAGTCAGTCAGTTAGTCAGTCAGTCAGTTAGTTAGTTGTTAGTTAGTTCTTTAGTTAGTCAGTCAGTTAGTCAGTCAGTCAGTTAGTTAGTTGTTAGTTAGTTCTTTAGTTAGTCAGTCAGTTAGTCAGTCAGTCAGTTAGTTAGTTGTTAGTTAGTTAGTCAGTTAGTTAGTCAGTTAGTTAGTTTGTTAGTCAGTTAGTTAGTTAGTTTGTCAGTAGTTAGTCAGTTGTTAGTTGTTTATTTTTTTTTTACCACATATCTACATGTAGCTTCCTGTGTATGAGCGCCAGTAGGAGGGCTGAGGCTAAACAGCCTCAGCCCTCCTACTCCAACATAAAAGTCCAGCTCCGCCACTGATTAAAATGTGTTTATTTTTTTTAAAACAACGCCTAAATGAGTCGTGATCTGAAGTTTGTGTGATTCCCACAGAACACCACCGGAACACCAACGTGTTGTCCTACAAAATAAAGGTACTGCCGCCCAAAGCGCAGAATGGTCTCGCTCGAAAAGCGTGGTTTTGAAAAGTGCGTAGACGACAATGCTTTTATTTTGAAAGTAACAAATGGATGTAGTTCTGCAGTTTCGACAGGAATTGACGTCGCCATCTTGGGTCTGTTTCTTCCTGAAAGTTTTCAATCTTTTGACGGTTTTTAAAACTGTTTTGTTCAAGAAACAAACATGGGAGCGTGTTTGGCTCTAGGGTCTCTCGGCAGCTGTGTAAGTACACATTTGACTTTAAAACGCTGCTTTAGAAATAACAGCGAAGTCGTGTTTTAGTTGTTTTTGACGAGTTTAATAAGATTTATGTGTCGTCCTGAGGTTAGAGACAGACTTAGTAAAACTACAGAGGAACTTAGAAAACATACAAACCAAGGTAAAATATCAATTATTGAAGATAATTTGTTACTGGTTAGTTCAGTCTGGTTTATATGGTGTAAATTCAATGAACTGAGAAAAGTTGTGGTAAACAACACATATTTAACTAATAAATATGAATGCTGTTTTAAGACGATCTGATTGAATATTTAATCTCAGTCTAGTTTGTATTTGTAGCTTTAAAGTTAATAACTTGTTACACAATCAACAAGGTTAGGCGCCATTGTTTCTGAAAGGCTTCAGTGTTATGAGTAAACATAAAAATCACTTCCGGGTTTGTAATTATATTATTTCAGGATTAAATGAAACAAACAGAATTTAACAGATGTGTGTTGTTCTGTGTGAAAACAAATCCTTTACATGAATCTGGGTTAGAAAATAGAAAAATTACAGTTTTTAACATTCTGTTGAATTCTATTGAATATCAAATTGAATATTTTTTTTAATTTTATTTTGAATATGCACAAATATCTAGCTTCCACTTATTACATAACATATGTCTCCATAGCACAAAAAAATAAATAAAATGAAAATAAACTAAACAAAACGAAGCTCTGTTCAACCAGAAAAGAAAATAGTTGGCATATAATCAAAATTAAGTGAGTAGAAGTATGGCTTATTACACCTCACCACTTTGTACCTCTACTTACACATAGACATAAAATCACATATAATATAATGAAATTTTGTTTGCCACAGAGAGTGTGTTACTTATATTATTATTAGTTCAACATTTTGCTGATGTAAAATCAWAGTTAAAAATATGAACACTTTATATTCAACGTAAATTTAACTTTTACCAACTCTTGCTAACATTTTTACTGTTTTTGATGCTTTTTATTATTATAGGGCTATTTTTGTGGTTCAGGGACTGTATTTATAAAACGTCTTAGAATTCCTCTTAAGAATGCTGCTAAGAGTGGACTTAAGTGTAAAAAATTCTTAGTTAAAAGCTGAGA